GCTTATGTGGTGTTGAGGAATCGAACCCAAGGCCTCAGGAATGCAAGGCAAGTGCTCTACCACTGAGCCACCTTCCCAGCCTTAAGTTCAAGTCTTAGTACTGGCATATACTTACACACAAAAGTATGAAGCTGAACACTGGTGATTCACACCTACAATTTTTTTATTTTTAGTCGGTTGGGGGCTTGAACTCTGGGCCTGGGCTCTGTCCCTCAGCTCTTCAGCTCAAGGCTAGCACTCTACTATTTGAGCCACAGCGCCACTTCCGGTTTTCTGTTGGTTTATTGGAGACAAGAGGCTCACAGACTTTCTTGCTCAGGCTGGCTTTGAACCATGATTCTCAGATCTCAGCCTCCTGAGTAGGTAGGATTACAGGCATGAGCCACCGGCACCCAGCTTTCACACTTACTATTTTAGCTACTGAGGAGGCTGAGATCTGAGGAATGAGTTTGAAACCAGCCCAGACACACAAGTCTTAGAGACCAGATTAACCAGATAAAAAAATAAGAAGTGGGAAGTGAAGCTGTGGCTCAAGGTGTAGAATGCCAGCCTTGAATGAAAAACTAAAGGAAGTTTGATGCCCTGAGTCCATGCTCCAGTTCCAGCATACACACACACACACACACACAATCTCCCAACTCCAGTCCAGACCTTATTTCTAGAACCTATATTTGAACAAAATTCCAAGTTTTGGGTTTTTTTTTCCCCCTATGGGGCTTGAACTCTGGGCCTGGGTGCTATCCCTGAGCTCTTCAGCTCAAGGCAAGTGCTCTACCACTTGAGCCACAGGGCTACTTGTGGTTTTCTGTGGTTAATTGGAACTAAGAATCTCGCAGACTTTCCTGCCCGGGCTGGTTGCACCTGGTTCCAAGGTGGTTTCTATTTATGTTGGATTTGAAAATCACTACCATAATGAAAAGCATAATGCAGTAAGACTGTGGTTAAAGTTCTTTTGTTAGTCATTTTCCCAGCACTATAACAAAAGAGAAAGGTTTTGGGGTTGGGAATGTACTTCATTGGTAGAGCACTTGCCTAGCACGTGTGAGGTCATGGATTCAAGTTGCAACAACATAGTGGGTGAGAGAGAGATGGGGAGAAAAAGGAGAGAGATTATAGTGTGTGTTTGTGTGCGTGCGCACACGTGCGTGCGTGTGCACAGGCCCTGGCCCAGCTAGAGAGGTTATTTTGGCTCAGTTTTAGAGGTCTCCATCCTTAATTGGGCTTGTAACAAACTAGCACATACTAGTCACAGCACATGGTAGAATAAAACTGCTTACCTTCTGGTCAAAAGCAAGGAACAGTAAGAATAACATATGATCTAAAGACTTCCCACAGGCCCCACCTTTTGAAGGTTCAACCACCTCCTGATAGCACCACCATGGAGATCAAGCCTTTAACATGTGGGTCTTTGGGGGACACGTATCCAATCCATTGTAGATCCTAACTTTGACATTGCTTTCCTTGACTGCAAATCAAACAACTACTGAGTGGGCTTCTCATTAATGTGCTGGGTGCTGTGCTAGGTACTCCTCTGAAATAGAGATTTGTTTAGCAGATTTCTGTTTAGGGACCACAATGTTCCAGAGATTGTTTTGGGTGTGAGGATGTAAGTATGAATGAGACATGGAGCTTCCATTGTAATGTCATAAATAGCAAACCAAGTGGTCTTCTTGAGCTGTAATTATTTAAGTGCTAGGGAGAAAGTCATCAGAGTAGTGTGTAAAACTGTGTAGGGGAGCTGTATAGGTTGGGGTGGTCAAAGAAAGCTGTGAAGAAGTGATATTTGAGATAGAACTTGAAGAGCTGGCAACCAGAAGAATTGTGGGCCACGAGCATTCTAGGCTAGTGCTATTTAAATAGTCATATGTGGGGAGTGGAGGTGTGGCTCAATTGGTAGAGCATCCATTCTTGGTACAAAAAAAAAAAGTCAGATGTGGCTAATGATTAAGCAGGGGAACACCAAGTGGGTCCTGCGGTTGAACTTGGCATATTCCAGAGACAGAAAGGTTTCTAGTGTCAAGTGGCTGTATGCTGAAAGTAAGAAGGAAGAGCAAGTAGGACCAGATCACAAAAGGTTTGGGTGACCATGATGGGGACAGGAGAATTGGAATCTTTTGAATGATAATGCATTGAATTAGCCGCCTAATTTACTTTTAAAAATCTCACTAAAGAGCTGGGTGCTGGTGGCTCACGCCTATCATCCTAGTTACTCAGGAAGCTGAGATCCAGAGGACCAGTGTGCAAAGCTACCCAGGCAAAAAAAGTCTGCGAGACTGTCTAAAAAGAACCAAGAAAAAACTAGTCTCAAATAATAGAGCAACAGCCCATGAGCAAGCATAGTGAGCTCCAGGCCCTGAGCTCAAGCCCTGGTACTGGAAAAGAAAAGAAGGGCCAAGAAGGTGGCTCAGTGGTAGAATTCTTGCCTAGCATGCATGAAGCCCTGGGTTCAAATCCTCAGCACCACATACACAGAAAAAGCTGGAAGTGGCACTGTGGCTCAAGTGTTAGAGAGCTAGCCTTGAGCAAAAGAAGCTCAGGGATGGTGTTCAGGCCCTGAGTTCAAGCCCCAGGACTCAAAAAAAAAAAAAAAAAAAGACACATTCATATTCAGGAAATGGGGACATAGGGAAAAAGACAACAAACAAACACTTAGTTACTATCCAAATGGCAGAAGTAAACATTTAAAAATCAGATTGGAAGAGAAATTCTAAACTTACTTTGGCGGGGTGGGGGGTGGGGGTGGAATTGAAAACTTTGTAAAGATAATATTAGAGGCCAGTCCAGGAGCTTCAGTCTTGTTTATCTGTAATGAAGAGGATTTTTATATATAGAATTTTCCTTATTTAAACACATTTGATGAGAGGCAATTTACTAGTTGCCCAACACAGAATAAAATACCTACATTGAAACACACCTGGTGCTGGTGGCTCATGCCTGTAATACTACCTACTCAGGAGGCTGAGATCTGAGAATCACAGCTAGAACCGAGCCCAGAAATCTTAACTCCAATTAACCAGCAAAAAGCTGGAAGTGGAGCACCAAAAGCTCTAGTGGTAGAGCACTAGCTTTGAGCAAAAAAGCACAGGGGCAGCACCCAGGCCCTAGTTCAAGCCTCAGGACTAGAAGACACACACACACACACACAGTAGTGTAGGGAAGTTTATTGCACACCAGGACCAGGGTCCAGCCACACCACTCGAACTCTGCCTTTAGGAGATGCCTAGACCTTGATAATGGTTCTGAGGCCACTCAAGGCTCAGCCATGGCTCTGTTCCTGAAATGGATTCATGTGCACGTTGAGCTGACCAGGATCAGACTTCACAGATGTTTGTATCCCCTTTTGGCATCTCTGTGCTACTGGGCACTTGCACATCCATTCTGATTCTGAGCACCCCTTGCTCTCCAGGTTGCCAAGACAAAGCAGCAGATCGAGGAGCAGCGGGTGCAGGTGCAGGTGGTGGAGCGAGCCCAGCAGGTGGCGGTACAGGAGCAAGAGATTGCTCGCCGAGAGAAGGAGCTGGAGGCCCGTGTGCGCAAGCCGGCCGAGGCTGAGCGCTACAAGCTGGAGCGCCTAGCAGAAGCTGAGAAGTAAATGCCCCTGGGCCTCTCCTGGCTCTTTTGCCACCTGGGAACCCCCAAATGGGGAACTAAGGATTTCCTTTCCATTTAGATTCCTATGAAACTCAGGGTGCAGGAGCCTCTGTCTCCAGCCTCTTTCCTGGGAGCAGAGACCCCACCCATTCTTCAGCTCCTTCTACTTGCTCTCTGTCCCCAGGTCCCAGTTGATTATGCAGGCCGAGGCAGAAGCTGAGTCTGTGCGGGTGAGTGTGGGGTGGCACCTTGCTGGCTTGTGGAAAATGGCTTCCAGTTTGCTTTTTGGGTTGAGTGTTTTGTTTTCGTGCCTGTGTTGGGATTTGAACTTAGGGACTGGTTTTTAACATCCCTTGGCTTGGGGGGGGGGCAGTCATGGGTGGGGCTTGAACTCTGGGCCTGGGTGCTATCCTTCAGCTCTTCAGCTCAAGGTGATCACTCTACCACTCAAGCCACAGCCACTTCCAGTTTTCTGGTAGTCAACTGGAGATAAGAGTCTCGAGCTGTCTTTGAACTGCAATCCTCAGGGTAGCTAGGATTACAGGAGTGAGCCATAGTCACCCAGCTCCCTTGGCTTTTTTGCTCTAGGCTAACACTCTAGCATTTGAGCCATAGCTCCTTTTCCAGCTTTTTGCTGGTTAATTGGAGATAACTCAAGCTGGCTTCTAGCTGAGATACTCAAATCTCAGCCTCCTGAGTAGCTAGCATTCCATGTGTGAGCTACCAGTACTGGGTTTGGGTTGGTGTTTCTTCTAGTTAATGATTCCTATGTATTTCAGAAGTCTCCTACCCTCTCCTCAGATGCGGGGGGAAGCCGAAGCCTTTGCCATAGGGGCCCGAGCCCGCGCAGAGGCTGAGCAGATGGCCAAGAAGGCAGAAGCATTTCAGATGTATCAAGAAGCTGCACAGCTGGACATGCTGCTGGAGAAATTGCCCCAGGTCTGAGGATGACAATATTCATCAGGAAAGAAGGATCAAGAGTAGGGCCTAAAGGGTGGGATGAAATTAAGTATTGTGGAGAGAACTAACCTAGGGGGACTATAAATTAGGGATGGCAATTATAAACCAGTGATCAACCAGAGTGAGGAAGGCCGGGGCTTAAAATGCAGGGTGAATTGTGTAAGGGTGTGGTCAGAACTGGGCACTCAGCAGGCAATTTTCACCCACTAGGTGGCAGAAGAGATCAGTGGTCCCTTAACCTCAGCCAACAAGATCACATTGGTGTCCAGTGGAAATGGAACCATGGGAGCATCCAAAGTGACTGGGGAAGTCCTGGACATCCTAAGCCGCCTGCCAGAGAGTGTGGAGAGACTCACGGGTGTCAGCATCTCCCAGGTGAGAGTCTCTGGTGGTAAGGGAATGAAGATTTTTTTTTCCTGTGTCATATGACTCAGTAAACCTATCACTTGACTAGCACCCAAGGGACCTGGAAATCACTCAGATTGCCTTCTGTGTGCCAGATACAATGCTGAGCTTTCTTCATAGATGTGGTGTTTGTTTTAGTTTAGTCTGTGTAGTATTTTACAAAGGAAAGACATTATTATCAACATGTTAAGTAACAAAAAGTAACAGCCTACTATACAGCTGGCCATACTGGGCTTTATCCCAAGCCAGCTGTCTGGAGTTGGTGCTTGTAGTCATACCCCCAGGACAGGAAACTAGTTGCACCTATTGATAATTCCAAAGCAAATCACCACTTCCCTCTACCTCCGATTATTCACCTGTAAATTATGGTAAAGGTCAGTGTGAGCTCTGCTAACGTGGTGTGAATCTTGGGCTTGGTATCACCAGGTTGTCAATCTCTACCTATTGCTTCACCTTGAAAGTTAATGAAGCCATGGTTCATACCTGTAATCCTATATTCAGGAGGCTAAGATCTGAGGATTATGGTTCATTTAAAGCCAGCCTGGGCAGCAAAGTCAGAGACACTTTTTAATTAAAATACACTAAAAAGCTGTAAGTGAAGCTGGGGATCAAGTGGTAGGTAGAGCACTAGCCTTGAGTAGAAAAGCTCAGTGACAGGGCTTAGGCCCTGAGTTCAAGCCCCAGTGCCAGCCCAAGACAACACACACACACACACACACACACACCAAATAATACAATAAAACGTTGTCCGTTGTCTTGGTGCAGAGTAAGCTGTATATGTTAAAAGGCAGCCCACAGCCAAAGATTCTCAGCCAAATCAATGCAAAGTTCTGATCCCTCTGCCCTCTTCAGTGATTATTTTTATTTTTTGGTGCAAGTTCTGGGCTTAAAACTCAAGGCCTTGGCAGTGTCCACTCAAGCCACAGCCCCACTTCTTAGTATTCTCAAGACTTCCCTACCCAGGCTGGCTTTGAACAGTGATCTTTAGATCTCAGCCTCCTGAGCAGCTAGGATTATAAATGAGTACCACCAGCACCCAGCTCAGTTTTCTGTTTCAGTTTCTTTAAATGCAGGGATCCTAGTGACTTCTTAAGGGAAAGGGGGTAAGGGAGGGCTCCAAAACAACTTCAACTGAGATTCCCATGACCTCCTACAACCTATTCACTTGAATGCAGGTCTAGGAAGTACCTGTTCCCAAGCACCATTTTCTCTTGTTTTTGCCAGGTGAACCACAAGCCTTTGCGAACAGCCTGAGTCCTCAGCCTTGCCAGTATCCAGTCTTGTGGCCCAAGCTACCTGAATGGTTCCTGCTGCATGCACCCCAACTGGCCTCCATGAGCATGTCCTTGGACACTGGGGTCCCATCTCTCCTTGCCAAATAGCTTGTGCCTTGCCGAGGAGGGGGTTGTCCCCTTCCTAGTCCCACACTGCCAAGATGCCAGTGCCCTAGGGGGTCCCATGCCAGCCTTTGAAGATCCCACCCCAACTTATTTAATTAAAAACTAGATGCTCTGAACTTGGTATCCAGAATTCTTGACCAAGGCATGGACATTGGGAATAAGCACTGACAACCAGCACCAATTCAAAAATGAACGGAATTGAGTTTGATCATCTCTTACATTCAGTACTTGCTAGGGCTGGAGGCAGAGCTCAAAGGGTAGCCTGAGTTCAAGCCCCAGTATGGCATGGATATCTACAACGGGGAATCTATTTGAGAACTGCGTTTATTTCTCTAAAGCTCTAATAATTCTAAGCTGTGCACTAGTGGCTCACACTTGTAATCCTAGCTAACACAGGAGCCAATGAGAATCATAGCTGACTCCTATCTCCAAATAACCATCAGAAAACCACAAATAAGTCTCTGTAGTAATGATCTAAACCTAGAGCAACAGAGCCCAGAGCTCAACAGAGCCCAGAGCTCAACAGAGCCCAGAGCTCAAGTCCCACGATCAATCAAAAACCAGGAGTGCTGTTAGAATGCTGAGAATTTAACTAATTACTATACTGAAATCTTAAATTTTTATCAGTAATGGGGCTTTAAGGGGACCTGAGGGATCCTTGAGCCTCCTTGTGCTTAATGCTAGAGAGCTACCATTTGAGTCACAGTGCCAGTGCTAGCTTTTTCTGAGTTTATTGGAGATTTAGGCTGACTACTGAACTGCCTAGGACAGGCTTAGAACCTCTACCCTTAAGTCTCCTGAGTGGCTAGGATTACAGGCATAAGCCACCAGCCAGCACCTTGCTTCAGATAGTATTTTATGACAGGAGGATCAATAAGCATCAGGTTAAGTAGAAATGAGTGTGATGGAACTCAGGCCCCATGCCTATACCAGCAATCTTCTCTAAATGAGCACACATCTCACCAACTTTTTCAATTCCCATTTATTTTTTTTTTGGCTCTTGGGGCAATGTCATTTTTCAATATGAAAAAAAGCAGCAAGTTCAACACAAAATGGAAAACTGAAGTGTAAGATAGGACAAAACCAAGGGTAGGAGGAAAAAAAGCAATTAAGAGATGTTACAAAAAGATGGTGTCTGGTTGCCTCCAGTGCAGTGACCAAAGATGGCCGTGAGGGATTATTTTCTTTTTAAAAAGGTAAGTGGGATGGGAAGTTTCTAGAGATCAGGACTGGTTCCTCCCTTAGATCAGAGGGAAGGAATGCAATTCCACAAGGCAAAGTTGGAGGGGAATCCCACTCTTAACAGAGTAGGCACATCTGCAAATAGGCAATTCTAAAGCTGACAATGCCCCTCAATGACTTGATTTCCCTCTTAAACTGTCCTAGAATAGATAATCCTACACCACCCTCCTTGTAATGAAGGTAACCTACCCCTTCCGCCTCTACTTACTTGGGGTTAGGATGTTGGCTACGGCCCATGATTTCAGCCCCTGGTCCCTACTAAATAGACCTGGATGAGACAAGCTTCTTGAAACTTTGAGAAACAGAAATAATTGGACAGACGTTGACAAGTGGGTGTTGGAAAGAAATTTAAAAGTAACCCAGAATGGCAGAAATTCAGGTTTTCCAGAGTGGATAGAGAGGAGACATTCAACAAACAAATATTTATTGAGCGCCTACTATGTGCCAGGCACTGTTCTACACCCTACCCCCAGAAAAAAAAAAAGACAGGCAGCAGAAACAAATTCTGAAAGGAAGAAAAGGGGCAGCTCAGGGAATTGAGAAGCCTGAGGTAATGGGGAGGGGGTTCTCTTCCTTAGGCCTCCTCTTCAGCCTCCTCACCGAAATCCTCTTCCTCTTCTGCGGTGGCATCCTGGTACTGCTGATACTCAGAGACGAGGTCATTCATGTTGCTCTCTGCCTCGGTGAACTCCATCTCGTCCATGCCCTCACCTGTGTACCAGTGGAGGAAAGCCTTCCTGCGGAACATGGCAGTAAACTGCTCAGAGATGCGCTTGAAGAGCTCCTGGATGGCTGTGCTGTTGCCGATGAAGGTGACTGCCATCTTGAGGCCACGAGGTGGGATGTCACAGACAGCCGTCTTGACATTGTTGGGGATCCATTCCACGAAGTAGCTGCTATTCTTGTTCTGCACATTGAGCATCTGCTCATCTACCTCCTTCATGGACATGCGGCCACGGAACACAGCAGCCACAGTGAGGTACCGGCCATGGCGGGGGTCACAGGCAGCCATCATGTTCTTGGCATCAAAGACTTGCTGGGTGAGTTCAGGCACAGTAAGGGCCCGATATTGCTGGCTTCCACGGCTGGTGAGAGGGGCAAAGCCAGGCATAAAGAAGTGGAGACGTGGGAAGGGCACCATGTTAACTGCCAGCTTGCGGAGATCAGCATTGAGCTGGCCAGGGAAGCGGAGGCAGGTGGTGACACCGCTCATGGTGGCAGAGACGAGGTGGTTAAGGTCCCCGTAGGTTGGTGTGGTCAGCTTAAGGGTACGGAAGCAGATGTCATAAAGGGCCTCGTTGTCAATGCAGTAGGTCTCATCAGTATTCTCTACCAACTGATGGACAGAGAGGGTGGCATTGTAGGGCTCAACCACAGTGTCAGACACTTTGGGTGAGGGTACTACACTGAAGGTGTTCATGATGCGGTCAGGATACTCTTCACGGATCTTGCTGATGAGCAGGGTGCCCATTCCGGAGCCTGTGCCCCCACCCAGGGAGTGGGTCAGCTGGAATCCTTGCAGGCAGTCACAGCTCTCGGCCTCCTTCCGCACCACATCGAGGACTGAGTCAACCAGCTCAGCCCCCTCTGTGTAATGGCCCTTGGCCCAGTTGTTGCCTGCCCCAGACTGACCTAGAATGAAGTCCAGAAAATAGCTTCATTGGTAAGGTGTGAAATGCAAATGGTGTTTATACCTCTCAGTGTTGCAACTGTTCTCTTCCATGTGTCTCCTATCTGTGATAGTCTCCCCATAATCTACCAAACAAAGACATGCTGACTCTACTCCCCAGTAGTATCTTTTGTCTCCTTGCACCCCAAGTTAAGTTGAGATGATGGAATCTAGTAATACAATTTGTGTAACTCACCAAAAACAAAGTTGTCTGGTCTGAAGATCTGGCCAAAGGGACCTGAGCGAACAGAGTCCATGGTCCCAGGTTCTAGATCCACCAAGATAGCCCGAGGAACATATTTGCCACCTATAAGGAACCAAATAAGAAATTAGTGAAAAAAGGAACCAAATAGATGAATAAGCGCCCCCTAGAGTGTTGGTTGGTTAAATCGGGTTGAGACTGCTGCAGACCCAAACCTGTCATCCCGGGTCTTGACACCAGGTGGCAGCAGACCTAAGCCTTTAAGGCCCACCTCAAAGTAAAATGGTGGGTTATACCAAAGGGTACCTAAGAGCAGCACTGACGGCACAAGTAGGAAAGGAAATGATATTCGGCCCTCTCCCCTGTTGTTGCTCTCCCTCACCTGTGGCTTCATTGTAGTACACAGAGATGCGGTCCAATTGCAGGTCGCTGTCTCCATGGTAAGTACCGGTAGGGTCAATGCCGTGTTCATCGCTGATAACTTCCCAGAACTGCCAGGGAAGAGCAAACAGTTCCAATCTCAAGGTGTCCCCCCCGCCTCCCCCTCATCTTCCATTTCAATTCCAAAACACCTCCAGAGCCTGCGACGGTTTTCCACCCGCCACGCCTTTCCTCTAAGACACAAGCCCAACAAGGAAAGCTTCATCTGCTCTCTTTGAGGTGTGAGGATTTGCTGTGGATCGGATTGGAGCCCGCAAACAGTGTGTGGGCGCGTAAGGTCTGCAAGACTTTAGCCACCGCCTCTCCACCCAGTGCACAAAAGGCGGGGGTCGGGAAAAAAAACGCTGCCGCAGTAGACCACCCCACGCGCGCCACGTGACTGCGGCGCACGCGCACAAAAGCCGACAAAGGGAGGCGCCGCGCGTGGGCGGGGCCAGAGGCACAAATTCGGCGGGCGAGGGGCGGGGCGGGGCTTCCGCTGCGCGCGCCCCCACCGGCGGGCAGGGCCGCATTGTCGCGGCGCGCCAGGGGCGCCGCGGCCCCGCCCCCGGAGGCCCGCGCCCTTGGGCTACAACGTTGCAGCCGCACTTCCTCCCGCCCCTCCCCCGCTACACTGTAACCGCGCGCAAAAAAAAAAAAACCTCCCCAGCCTCGGAAATGTATTCCTTTACCAGCTTCCTCTTCGCTTTATTACTACTTTCGCCCCCACTTCAGCCCCGAAGGCTTTTTTTTTTACAGAAAAGCACGCCTTTCATTTTTTCCTCAATTCCCTTCTACTGGGCTCAATCCGTGCGATTTTAGGGGCAACGAAAAAGAGGTAAATTGTAAATGATCGTTGCACCCACGGAAAGACTATGGGAATACCCCTCGGGGACCTCGGGCGTGCTGGGATCCCGATCCCTTTGTGAATGCACAAGCGCAGTGCAGCCCACCGCGCGACTCGCGTCCGCCACCTTAGCAAGTGAGGTTTTGCCTGGGAGGTCCCGCAGCTGCCCGCCCGCTCTCGCCCCTTCCCCTCAGTTTTTCCCTAGGAAGCCCCTGGCAGGGGGGGGGGAGGGAGGCGGGATCTACATTGGGAAAACCTCGCCCGGCTTTGTCTGGCACCGCTTTCTGACCATTTCCCCATCTCTCCAGTTCCTGAACCGTTAGAAGATCCTTTTTAAGATCTTCTAGAACCCTAAGTCTTTCCGCGTGCCACGCCCGAAAGATCCTTTCAATAGTTTTCCCTCAAACACCCGTTTTCCAGAGTCAAATGCTACCTACAAATGTGCATCCCACCTATCTGTGGAAAAACTTTCTTCGGGGAGGCACAAAGCTGAAGGATGGAGAACGCGAATGGGCCCAGCCATTCTTCACAACCGACCCAGGTCTTCCATTTTAAGAAAGATTACAGTTAAAAGGAAAGGTTTAAAATTCTTACCTTGGCACCGATCTGGTTGCCACACTGACCGGCCTGGATGTGCACGATTTCCCTCATGGTTAAAAATTAATTTTAATTTTCTTTTTGCTCGCCTCAAGTTATGTGCGGGGCAAGAAAATGTTTTTTTTTTCCTCAGCGCAGGTCGTGGGCTGAAAGGATGGAACGTGCCCCGGAGGCCGGAGCAGCGAGATCCGCACGCGACGGCAGGAAGATTCTGAGAGGCAGAAGATACCGGACGGCGAAGGAGGGAAGGCGGGCTGGGTGGGGCGCGCGTGCGCAGGGCTGGAGGCGGGAGAACGGCGCCCGCGCAGCGGTCAGGAGACAAAGCCTCCAGGAGCTTGGCCCTGATTAGACGAGGCCGGTCACGTCCAAGACTCCCATTGGTCCCTGGCCTAGCGGACGAGCGCAGTGTTCTCTGGGAGTTGAAGTCCTCTATTGTCCACGCTGCAAAATGAACTTACAAATGGGTGGGTACTTGGATTTTTGCCTTTTGTAGTTTCCTTTATCTTTTTGAATGAAAAAAAAAATGCCCTTGCACAAGATTCTTTTCCCTTTGTGCCAGACTACTTTTGCACAGAAATTAAGCAGTTTTCAGGGACACAGGAATTGAAGAGTCTGAAGTGCCGTGAATTGAGAGGTGGGACCGGCACGCCCTGAAAGCTCCCCACTGCGGTAGCTCTGGGGAGGGCAGGACTGCTTAGTTCAGCGAAAACTCTGGAGAAGTGTGGCATTCTGCATCCGATCCTTTGTTGACCCGAGGCCTGAACTTCAGGAAACCTCTGCTCCCCAATATACCTCAGGAAGAAGGAAGGGATTGCCCTATTTCCTTCGAATGATAATGTTTTAAAAGAGAAACAAAACTGCAGGAAAGGCTTCTTAGAATAGAGTGGTTGTGTGGTACGTATCCTTTGAAGAGTAAGTTGAATAGTTCTGAGAACAGATCCCGGATTTCGGAAGTCGGAAATAGCTGTGTACATAGGATATCTAGGCCTTAAGGCAGAATTTGAAGATATCTTGGTCATCTTGTCTAAAGGGAAGTATGTCAAAAGGCAAATATGGAGTGAGATGATCGAACTTAAATATCTTTCCGGCCTGTCCTTTTTACATACTTCGATGAAACTAGTGATTTTTTTTTTAGCTTACTGATGTCACTGACCAGGTATAGCCATTGCAGAGTCCCAAGGTTGCAAAAGAAAAGAGAACTGTATGGGCGCAAGTTAAAATCCATGTTTCCTCCCAGGTAGAAGTAACCAAATCAAGAACCAGGAATACATAATAAATGATTAAAAATTAGTCCCCTAGCCTCCAGAATCTTGGTTTGTTAAGCGTATATGAATCAGGTGAGCACTATAATGAAGCCATGATATCAAGGTCATTGTTAATTCGCATTGAGTAATACACAGATCAACACACATTTTTTAAGTCCTCTAAATTAACATCAACTAGAACAGACTGGAGTTGTGGCTCCACGTGTAGAACGTCTGTTTTAAGAAGTACGAGGCCCGTAAGGTTCAATCCCCAGTGCTGCCAGAAAAAAAAAAAAGTTTTAATGTTTTAGGGTGTTGTGGGTTTTTTGTTTTGTTTTTTGGCGGTTCAGTGTATTGAACTCAGTGCCTCCGGCTTATCAGAGGAGTACTCCATCACATGAACCACACCCAACCACACCTTCACCATGAAATGTAATTGAGCTGTTCGCAGAAAGAGCTAAAATTTCTACGTTAGATAACCTGTAGGAACCTAGGCTAATCTTTTAACTTAGAAAATCTACTTCAGACTATTGGCTATGGACATAACAAAGATCAAAGGAGAAAAAATTCCACGTCGAAGTCTACCTATTTTCTATGCCATACTAGTAGACAATACATTATTTTAGCATATTTTTCTCGTCCCTTGAACGGTGATTACAGACTTGTTAGCAAACCAGTTTTGCCTTTGGATTTTTCATTTAGGAAAACGACCTCAAAATGTCCGTCAGAGATAAATTCCCCAGAAGAAATGACGTGACATTTTACTAAGCAGACCAAATCAAAAAGGAAATGAAATTCCACCGCAATGAGGAGTCTTCCCAGGGCCACGCCTATGGGCTGCTATCCAAACTGCAGCCTCCAGCCACGACTGCAACCCGCAGCCAGTTTTCATTTTTCCTGAGTCAGCTTACACCATATCTGGGAGGACCGCGGAAGGCCGCTCTGTAACGCACCGGCCGCGTTGGGTAATCTCTATGGTACGGCCCTTCTATCCACTGCCAGCAGCTGGCGCCAGACTCGCTGGTCGCGCCTTGGAAATCTGCGCGGGAAGTGGGTGGCTTTCGGCAGCCGGGGGTTGGCCTTCGGCGCGGACCAATGGCTGTGTGCTATTCTCTCCCTCCCGACGGCTGCATCGAATTTATCATTTACCGATCTCTCAGTCTCCCGCCACCAGCCGACTCTTTTAAGCGGCGAGGTGGGGGTGGGGCTTCAAATGTGCCCGAAGCTTCTTCGGCCTGCTGCGGACTTTGAAAGATAGGAGACGGGAGCCAATCAGCGAGTTGATCTCCTTCCGGAATACGCATTTGCTCCGCCCACGCCGCGGCCGTTACTGGTGGCGCGCGCGGGCGCGCAGCGACTCAAAATAAGTGAGTTCTGGGGACCTCGCCCACAGCTATCAGGTACCATCTTGGTCCTTCCGGAAGGCTGGAGGGGCGTGCCTTTGGTGCGTCCTGGCCGAGGTAATTTGAAAGTTTGTTTTCTCATTGTAATACTCACCCCTTTGCCCGGCGCCCGGACTCCAGCTTAGGTATGAGGACTCAAGGGAGACTTTGGGCCTCGAGGGGACTTACAGGGGTGTGAAGATCAAAGATGGTGGCCCTTCAAATTGGAGCCAATCGGCGTGGGCGCCCGTTGAGGTTGGCGCGCTTAGGGACAGAAATAACCCCCCGGGGGGCGGGGGCGTTCTTGCTTTCCTTGTCAACAGTTTCCCCGTCAGGGTGGCTGGCATCTTTCGAGGTAAAATTACATCCATGCTACTTTGAATTTCCGTCGTTTGTTCTTTCATTAGTAGCCTCAATGCCATAGCCAACATGAGAGCAGGATTCTTTTCTACTTAATTGAAGGTGTATCTGAAATAGGTCCGATGGTACCAGGTGTGTATAATCACCATAGAATGCATAGGGGGAGACCATAGAATGCATGGGAACGACACACTTCTATTACTACAGACTGGAAGCAGGTATGGACAGACATAAGGTTCTGATCATAGAGCTAGCTAAAGAGTTTAGATTGTTTAGATTGTATGCTGTGGGCAATAGAAAGCAGAAGAGAATATTGGGAGGAAGAGAGATTATCTGGGTGATACTGGCCAAGTTCCTCAGCTCACCTGTGTTCCAGTTTGTGAATCTGGAAAATTGGAGAATAATTTCTACTTTACATGGTTCAGGAGTACATTAGGTTAGTATAAAATAATATTTGTTGCATAGAAGCCACTGTCAGCTGTTCTGGTTCTTTGCACTTTAGTCTGATCATGCTTAGGTGGTAAGTGAAGTAAAAAGCTCTGCTTTGCCGGACGCTGGTGGCTCACACCTGTAATCCTAGCTTCAGGAGGCTGAGATCTGAGGATCACGGTTCAAAGCCAGCCCGGGCAGGAGAGACCGTGAGACTCCTATCTCCAATAAACCACCAGAAAACCGGAAGTGGCGCTGTAGCTCAAGTGGTAGAGCGCTCGCCTTGAGCTGAAGAGCTGAGGGACAGCGCCCAGGCCCAGAATTCAAGCCCCAATCTGACAAAAAAAAGAATTGAGCTTCAGTACTTGAGCTATAGCTCCTTTATTGGATTTTTGGTGGTTCATTTGAGATGAGTATTGCAGACTTTCCTGTCCAGGCTGGCTTTGAACTATGATCCTCAGATCTCAGCCTTCCTACTAGCTAGGATTACAGGCTTGAGCCACCAGTGCCTGGCTCCAAAAAGTATCTTTAAATGTTTCAGAAGGATGACAAAATGATTGGTAGGAAGGGAAGCATCCACAACTATCAAGGTTTACTTCCAGTTATCATTCTCCACATGCTGCATATGCAAACCAGTGATGGGATAATGAGAATGTCTTTCCTTAACAGAGCATGGAAGACACCCAGACTATTAACTGGGATGCTGAAGAAGAGGAGGAGACAGAGCAATCCAGAGGATCCTTGGGGCATAGCTCGGAACCTGTGGGGCAACTGAGAATTTTCAGTGGCACGCATGGACCAGAAAAAGGTCAGGGCTATTACATGCTAAAGGATAGTTATAGATCTTTTTTCTTTGTTTTTTTCTTTTGGAGGAACTGGGGATTAAATTCAGGGCCTGTGCTTGCTAGGTTGGTTCTTTTATCAATTGAGTAATCACTCTACATCCTACTTAATTCACTATTTTGGAGATTGGAGTTTAGCAAACTTTTTTTTTTTTTTTTTTTTTGCCAGACTGTCTTTGAACCAACAGCCATCAGTGCATAGCTTGGTGGTGGTGGTGATGGTCATGGTCATGGGCTTGAACTCAGGGCCTGGGCTCTTTCCCTGAGAGTCTCACACAAAGCTGGTACTCTACCACTTGAGCCATAGTGCCGCTTCTGGTTTTCTGGTGATTCATTGGAGATAAGATTCTCACAGAATTTCCTGCCTGGGCTGGCTTTAAACTGTAATCCTCATATCTCAACCTCCTGAGTAGTTAAGGTTATAGATGTGAGCCACTAGAGCCTGGCTTCTTTTTTTTCTCTATTATTTTTCTTATTAAAAAATACCAAGAATGGATGGAGCTAGAAGGAATCATGTTGAGCGAGGTAAGCCAAGAACGAAGAGACAAACGGTATACATGGTCTCCCTGATAAGTGGATGCTAAATCCAAAATGTTAGGTGATA